CATTACATTCTATATATATACTCGCTATACGCTTACTTACAGTACTCTACTATTTTTCATCGTCTTCTTCATGTTCTGACTTGAGCGTCAAAGGCTCTACACCGGAAAACCACCCGATATTAATTTTGTGCAGGTATCGAATGTCATCAACTGGCGAGGAAGATATTTTAGGTCGAACCAAGGCGGTCCGAGATCCTTTTACATACCATAGTACAAAGATTTTTTTTAGTTGGGGACTAACAACAAAATAAGTAAGGAATTAGGGTTTAAAATGAAAAAAAGGGAAAAAAAAATCACCCGGATGGAACATGATAACATGATCAAACAATTATGCCTTTCAAATAGCCTACCAAAATCGCAACTGACTCATAATAAATTAAGTTAAGCAAAACATTAAAATCATTAAATTGTGAACTTTGACCCCCGCAGTCCGCGTTCAAACCTCCGAAGAAAACAGGAGCCTTTAATTCTCTTCACTCTACAATTTCTCTTTGTTCTATTTTTAGGCAGCTTCCGACAGTTTCTACTAGCGAAAACATCGGATCAAACAGTACTTAATAAAAAAAAACATGGAAACTTGTTGTTGAGGTTGTCTGATCATTTCACCTGAACACAAAACAGTGCTTTATTCCTCATGTCATTTATTCACCACCATCCAAATGAAACCGTAGCTTAAATTCTGCCCCTGTCTCTCAGGGGTTTCAAAAATCTAATTACTCACTAAATAAAATAAAAAAACGAGAAAGATAAAACTGAACTTGGGCCCTCTTTGATATTTTGATAGAAAAAATAAAAAGAAAATGGAGAATTTACTAAGTGATAATTGGGATGTAAAGCCGAAGCATGAAGGGGAGGAGGCTCTGCAGAGATGGAGAGATCTTTGTGGGGTCGTCAAGAATCCAAAACGACGGTTCAGATTCACTGCCAATCTATCCAAGCGTTATGAGGCGGCTGCCATGCGCAAAACCAATCAGGTTTGCTCTTTTTCTTGTTTTTTTTTTTTTTTTTTTTTNATCAGTGGATTCATAATGTGTGTGTGGTTTGGCTATGTATATTAAAATTAAAAACATGTTTTTCAGGTTTGATCTGAGTATCACATTTTTCATGACCTGTATATGAATAAGATGATCGTCTTATTTGGCTAAACAAGAAACAGAATTAGATTTATATATTCTTAGGCATGCCTGATAATTATTACATTGTTGTACCTCACTTAATATGCCAGGAGAAGCTGAGAATAGCCGTGCTTGTCTCGAAAGCCGCATTCCAGTTCATACAAGGCGAGTTTCCTCACCCATTTTTTTTTTTTTTTTAAANTTTTTTTTTTTTTTTTAAAAAAAAGAAATGTCCCGTTGCTATAAAGACTTTCGATTCTAACTATTCGTTTTCCCTCTCCAGGAATGCAGCCGAGCGACTACACAGTCCCCGAGGAAGTCCAATCGGCCGGCTTCCAAGTCTGCGCGGACGAGCTCGAATCAATCGTGGAAGGCCACGATCTCAAAAAGCTCAAATTCCACGGCGGCCCACTCGGCCTGGCCCAAAAACTCGCCACCGACCCCGAAAACGGACTCTCCACCGACGCCGAATCCCTCTTCCGCCGCCGCTCCATTTACGGCACCAACAAGTTCCAAGAGACAGAGCCCCAGAGCTTCTGGGTCTTCGTGTGGGAAGCCCTTCAAGACATGACCCTTATGATCCTCGGCGTTTGCGCCTTTGTCTCCCTAATCGTCGGCATCGCCACCGAGGGCTGGCCCAAGGGAGCCCACGACGGCCTCGGCATCGTCGCCAGCATCCTACTCGTCGTCCTCGTCACCGCCACCAGCGACTACCGCCAGTCGTTGCAGTTCCGTGACCTCGACAAGGAGAAAAAGAAGGTCTCGATCCAAGTCACTCGAAACGGGTACCGTAAGAAGATGTCGATTTACCACCTCCTCCCGGGCGACATCGTGCACCTCTCGATCGGCGACCAAGTCCCCGCGGACGGCCTTTTTCTCTCCGGCTTCTCGGTTATTATTAACGAGTCGAGTCTGACGGGCGAGAGCGAACCCGTGATAATCGGTGTCGAGAACCCGTTTTTGCTCTCCGGGACAAAAGTTCAGGACGGGTCGTGCAAGATGCTCGTGACGACCGTTGGCATGCGGACCCAATGGGGGAAGCTGATGGCGACGCTTATAGAAGGAGGTGACGACGAGACGCCGTTGCAGGTGAAGTTGAACGGCGTGGCGACGATTATCGGGAAGATCGGGCTCTTCTTCGCGGTGGTCACTTTCGCGGTCCTCATGCAGAAGATGCTCGGGCGAAAGTGGCGGGAAGGGTCCGCGCTGAGGTGGAAGGGCGACGACGCGATGGAGCTCTTGGAGTACTTCGCGATCGCCGTGACGATAGTCGTCGTGGCGGTGCCCGAGGGGCTCCCGCTCGCGGTCACGCTGAGTCTGGCGTTCGCGATGAAGAAGATGATGAACGACAAGGCGCTCGTGCGCCACCTGGCGGCGTGCGAGACGATGGGCTCGGCGACCAACATATGCAGCGACAAGACGGGGACTCTCACGACGAACGTCATGACGGTGGTGAAGTCGTGCGTCTGCTTGAACGTGTATGAGAGTGAGGACGAGGTGCGCGGCGGACTCCACGACGGCGTGGCGAAATTGCTGCACGAGTCGATCTTCAACAACACGGGGGGAGAGGTCGTGGTCAACAGGCGGGGCCGGCGCAAGATTCTCGGCACGCCAACCGAGACGGCCATACTTGAGTTCGGACTCTCGCTCGGCGGAGACTTTCGACGGGAGCGGAAGGCGGTCAAGGTGGTCAAAGTCGAGCCGTTCAACTCGACCAAGAAGCGGATGGGGGTCGTCGTGGAGCTTCCGGAAGGCGGGCTCAGGGCGCACACCAAGGGAGCGTCGGAGATAATCCTAGCCGCGTGCGATAAAGTGATGAATTCGAAAGGGGAGGTCGTGCCGCTTGACGATGAATTTTCGAGGCTTCGCCTCAACGAGATTATCGACATATTTGCGCGGGAGGCTCTCAGGACTCTGTGTCTCGCGTATATGGATCTTGATAAAGGGTTTTCGAATGATGATGCGATTCCTGAGTCGGGTTATACTTGTATAGGGATTGTGGGGATTAAGGATCCCGTTCGTCCAGGGGTGGCTGAGTCCGTTGCACTTTGCCGTTCGGCGGGCGTGACTGTTAGGATGGTTACGGGAGATAATATTACGACAGCGAAGGCCATTGCTAGAGAATGTGGGATACTGACAGATGATGGTATAGCGATAGAGGGTCCTGTTTTTCGCGAGAAGAGTATGGAGGAATTGTTAGAACTGATTCCCAAAATCCAGGTATGAATATACTATTATATATGTTTGTATGTATGTATGTATGTATGTCCATTCTTTTTATTTGTGGTTTTCCAGGTGATGGCTCGTTCTTCGCCGATGGACAAGCATACATTGGTGAAGCACTTGAGGACCACGTTTAATGAGGTGGTGGCCGTGACTGGTGATGGGACCAATGATGCGCCTGCACTTCACGAAGCGGATATCGGTCTCGCCATGGGGATTGCCGGGACTGAGGTGAAGTTCTTCGAAAAAATTTCGGTCTGACTGATGGATATTGAATTAGCACACATTTTAATTCTTGCACTAACCGATGGCAATTGCAATTGCATTTTCACAATTGTGTATAGGTGGCGAAAGAGAGCGCAGATGTCATAATTCTGGACGACAATTTCTCCACAATCGTGACAGTCGCCAAATGGGGCCGCTCGGTTTATGTCAATATTCAAAAGTTTGTCCAGTTCCAGCTTACTGTTAATGTTGTAGCATTAGCTGTAAACTTCTATTCGGCTTGTAAGACTGGTAATAATAAAGCATACTCTCTTTCTTTGTTTAAATTTTATTCTGGAGATGCGCATGGTTTGTCAAATTAATGGTGTTTAACTTTCGTTTTCAGGACGTGCGCCACTTACTGCTGTTCAACTTCTGTGGGTGAATATGATAATGGACACGCTTGGCGCACTTGCACTAGCAACCGAGCCTCCTAATGATGAGCTAATGAAGAGGGCACCTGTTGGAAGAAAAGGAAACTTCATAAGTGCTGTCATGTGGAGGAATATTCTGGGACAATCCTTGTACCAATTTTTCATAATATGGTTCCTTCAAGGATATGGGAAGACACTCTTCAGGCTTCACGGCTGTCCTGATCCTGACCTGCTCCTCAACACCATCATTTTCAACACTTTCGTATTCTGTCAGGTAATCGTCTCTTTATTCGCAATTATACAGTTTTATTATTTTTTTTCACTTTTTTTTCCCCCTTGTTTTTGCAGCTTTTCAATGAGGTGAACTCACGAGAGATGGAGAAGGTAGATGTGCTCGATGGCATACTGGACAACTATGTATTCGTGTTGGTTGTTGGGGCCACTGTCTTCTTCCAGATCATTATTGTCGAGTATCTTGGGACATTTGCTAGCACGACGCCTCTCACCTTCATGCAGTGGTTTATGAGCATTTTTTTTGGATTCCTAGGGATGCCTATTGCGGTAGCCTTGAAGCAGCACTTTCCTGTTGATGCCTAAAAAGTGTTGTGTGATAAATCGTCTATTGATCTTGCCGAATGTTGTCATAGTGAACCATCATCGACTCAGGATTTAGGTTACAGGGAGTTTCAGGCATGAAAAGAAATGGAAATGGGAGATTATGATTTCTGAGGGTTTAGCAGTAGAGCTGCACACATGATAGTTAGCAATTAGAATGACATGAAATTTTATTCACTTTTCACACATTTTTTTTTTTTTTTTTTTTNTTTTCAAGTGTAATTTGAAAACAACAAAAGTGTTCTTTTGTTCAGTCCCTAGTTTTTTATTTAATTGGTCCAATAGACATTTAACTGCTACCAGCCTGAATTATAGCTTTTGTTCAGTACCATATTAGATTGCATTATTGACATGTGTTAGAACTTAGAACTATAGTTAAAGACTTTTGAGGTTTGGAATTCCAATATCCCATTGAGGTTATATTTCACCTTCTATCACTAACCTAATTACTGAACCAGATGAATATGCGCATGTAATAAAATACTTTACCATCACTGCCTCAAAACATTTTAAATATCACACTGTGAAAAAACATAAGGTAATGAGTCTTTTATGACTATTTCTATTTGTAGTAGATAAAAAAGCTGGTTGATGCAAGAGCAAGGTATTTTAATAACTTGGAAAAATTCGCCAGGTTTACTTGTATCCAAAGAGAAATCGACCTACCTTCAAAGGGATTCTTTTAAGTACGCAACTTCACTCTTTTTGCGACAACACAAATCTCAAAGGTTTCTTTGTAAACATTCCAAAGATTTTCTGGGCTCATCAGTTGTCCAGCATCAGTTACAGGGCGCATCAAGCATCAATAAAGAGATTGTTGCTAATGTTGGGCTTTGAGAAATGCACAAAATCATAAATAAAAGTTTCCTCAAATAGTGAGGAGATAATTTTGGCCATAACATTTTTCCCTCATGAAACCCAATTCCATCAAGCGAGCTCTTGATTCTTATTCTTCCTCCATTGCATGCTTCCTTTCATCATAAATATATGTTTTCCAAACAGGCTCAATCAACGCCTTAGCACCAAACGAAAACTTCTCTCCATCACCCTCACTTTTATCCATCACCTCAGCTTCCATCTCCAGTTTAGCGTATATCTCACCAAGACATGCCAACATCATCCTAAGTCCTCCCCAGTCTCCCTCAATCCCGACTAACTCCACACACACGAAACGCAAAAGACCAAAGACCACCTCGAAATTCTTGCTCCCAAAAGCACTAAGTGCACCATTCAAGAATTTGACCCCCACAGCATCTAATACTTCACGGTTTGCTTTCAAAAGCTTGCATGTTGTCTCCATAAATCTTCTAAATGCTGGGAAATGATTAACGTTCTCTGTCTCATCATCTGAGCCTGCCTCTCTTAGTTTAAAAATTTCAATCCCAGCTATGACGCAATACCATGTGGGGAGATAAACCATAATAGCATTGTTGATTGCATGAGGACCTCCATTTGGAGCTTCTTTCAGTAAGGTCCAAGATCCCATAGCTAGAATGAGATCGGGAATCCATGGCTGAACAACCGAGTTCAAACGAGTAGCAAATCCGTACCCGAGAAATTCTTCAACTGAAACAAATAGATTAAAGAGTTCGTTCACGAGACACTGAGGTCCCTCTGGAGATAAAGGAACTTCGTCAGTTTTAAGCACTAAGTTGAGTAGCTTGGCTCCGTATGTGAACGAACTTTTCAAACAAATAAATATATCCTTTCGGTATTCCTCACTGACTGGCAACTGGGAAAGCGAGTGTTCCCTTAGATTTGTCATGATGAATTTCAAATATTCTATAGTGAAATTCAAGCATCTTTCTTGATATTGAGGAGGGAGAAGACTCATAGTTGCTGCGTCGACAATGAACTTCGAAACTACAGTTAACATCTTCACCATATTTGATATCCGTGTTTGTTTTGTCAAACCGGTACCTATACATAGAAAGTAATCCCGAATTGGTAAGTGTAATGATGGCTTTTGAGAGGAGGCAGCAAATAAAAGGAAGATATGATTGTGGTGATTATACAATTTATTAAACATTTGAACAGTAGAAACATGACACTGGTATAAGCAAAAATGCGATCATCTTTCATTAAAGGAATTTACAGCACATCAAAAATAACAAAGCTGAGTAACAGATAGCCATGGCAATCTTAATTTTAATAACATGACAACAATCATTAATGTGAAATTACTTTCATTTTTATCCCACTTCAGGAAAAGAACGATAAAATGAAAAAGGAAAGAATTTTCATTGGCTAAAGAAACATACCAGATTGACTTTCTCCAGCATCTTTACTGCATCCAGGAGTCATCTTGCTATCACTAAGAGATTCTAAAGGCGGCTTTTTAGAATTTTTGTTATTGTTTGCTTTGAATACATTATATGCACAGTGAAGCAGATGGTCCAGTGTCAAGTCTAAGGTAGTTCCCTGGGACACAGCATAACAAGCAATAAACAGCTTCAGTGCCATTTCAAATCACTAACAGTAAAATTTTCAACTCTGCCATTGAATGACCAAAACCAATATGACACTACTATTTCATGTTTGTGCTATTTGCTGGCTGAATGATGGAAACTAAACCAACCTACATAAGCATGAATCAATGATACACTTTCAAGCATCTACATAGAGATAATTCCAGGTAGGAAAATGTCACCTATCCTGCCTTTCTAATGTGATTCCAAACGAGTTTCAACATCATCACAAAGTGATGCTGATTTCAAACCAATATGAAATAACTATGAAATCAAGCAACCAACCATCTAAGTTATACCACAAAAATAGCAGGTTCCCTATTGCTGGGCGATTACAAAGAAGATGAATCAAGTACAGAATATTTTAAAGTGCTAGGTGGATTGTGGTGCAAGTGAATAAGTGAAATCGTAAAACCATTATGCATGTTCAGACACATAACTGAGAATCCTGTTGAGAGACAGTAGAGAAGCATGTACACTTGCCTTTGAAGAAACTCCAACTGTCTGAAGTTTATAAAGAGACATATGCAGGGTCAGGGTCGCGTATGCAGAAACAGGACAAGTCTTCAAGTAATCATGCTCCAGGCAATGGAGAAAGGTAACTTCAGCAATGACCTTCAGCGCTAAGTATGCACGTTCTAAAATCCCAGAACCTAGTAAAGCTTCCCTTGTATTCTCAGACAGAAGCAAGTCCTTTATTTGCCACGCTACTCCAACTGCAACGGCGTAATCTTCCAAAAATGTGTTCTTGTCAGTGTTAGATGACTTTTTCTTATTGCCCCTTTTCAACTTTGATGATGTTTTCGTGGAAGATCTAGTTCTTGTTCTACTTGCCGGCTTTCCATTCTCCTGTTCTAATTCAATACCAAAACATACCTGAGATCCAGAGGCAGTCTTTTGAAGCAACCCAATCAGAGTTTCAAACATGTCTTCAAACCAACCACACGACAAGATCATCTTGTGGGCAGACCTCACTTCGGCTTGCTTTTCAATATTATCCGACAAACCACTGCATCTTGTAATTAAGCCAATGCAGTCTTCAAAAAGGTCACCTGTAGCATCCAGCGACAAGGTCGAAATAATGTTGCAAACAGAAGATTGAGCATGAGCAGTACAAGCTACCGTGAAGAGGGTCTTCAGCTTTTTAGCGGATAACATCACCTTGAGAGCAGCCTGGAATGAAGAATCCTTTGCAAGATTAGTGCAAAGGTGAGAGGCAGCAGTGAGTAATCCCTCAATGTACTCAACTTCAAGCTTGGAGGACAGAGCCAAACCAATAAGACTTGAAAAGAGTTTCATTAGGGATCTGAGAGATGCTCCTTCTGTTGCTACAAACTCACAAAACCTTGCTCCAGCTTGGGGAGACCTTTTAATTAGAGTAATACAGCGTTTGCATGCTTCTTCCTCGGTTGCTTTAGAGGGAAAGTAGGATGGTATAAGAAGCTTTGTGATTTTTCTAGCAATGACTGGTTGATCGTCAGCAAGAACGGAAAGCAATGCATCCATGTGTACTACCTGAAGAAGCAAAACCAAAAATAAAAAAGAAAAGAAGTAATAAATAAGAAGTAATAAAAGGAGGAAGAAAAAAAGTGATAAAGATGATGAATTCTGTATATAGGTATTACCTTATGGAACTGAAAGTTTTGAAGGTCATTTAAAAGAAGAAGTAGATCAGCTAGAGCTGCACGTACTACTGATGCAGAATCTGTGATAAGAGTACCCAACCTAGGTAAAATCACTTTAAGGACCTCGTGAGATTGAGGATTGCCAAGTAAATATATGACACCATTCACTGTTGAGAGTCGGACCTCTGTGCAAGAGTCGCGAGCCATGTCATCGGAAATTTTAGTAATAATCTTTGTGATGGTTGGTGAAGGAATAACTTCCCAAAACATATGAAGAATTCGACAGCAGCCTTCTACTGCTACACCCCTCACATCAGGACATTCATCCATAAGCAATTTCTCCAAAAGAAAGAATTGCTTTTCCAACAGCGTATCTTTGACCTCCTTAGTCGCATCAGGATCTTCCAAAGGAAACAGGTCCAGAAGTAAGTGCAATGCATTTTGACGAACATTGGAGTTCGCAACCTGCAGGAAAGACCCTGTTATCCATTTGAATTTAAATGTGCACATATGTTCTCGTTGTTATGTGCATATTTGTTTCATATAATTACTGGTGAGAAGGCAATTAGACTTTAGAGGTGAATTAAATAGGAGAACAAAATATGTTGCATTTCTAAGTGAACTCGTAAACAAAATCCTCTTCCTGTCTGAGAGTCATGTTATGAAAAATACAATATTAGTAAAGTGAAGCAAGAGTTGACATTTCTTCACTTCATGCTAAGGAAGCATTAACACGTATGATCCAACTTCTGCAACAGTGATTGAAATCCCCTTTATCTAGTAAATATCCAACACTTGAACAATAAACAAGAAAGTAAACGCCAACTAATGAAGTACATTAAGAACTGTATGCCAGAGCACTCTGACCATAAATTTTGAAACTAAAATATGCACCCATAAATACAGGCCATTATGCTATATCTGACAATTTCTAGTACTTACTGCCTTGCAAAACAATGCAAGATCAGATATTATTTTAGCAACTGCATCATTCATAGACTCATTGCCTTCCAAAAATCGCAAGATCAACGCAAGCCCAATTAATCTATGAAACATAATAACTAAAGCTAGCTTCTTCAGCTATCAATGATCCAGGAGATATGCAACATACTCAGCTTCTAAAATACATATATCACATCAGCAGTAAAAAGAAAAAGAAAAAGAAATATGTATAGCTAAGGAATACAGTACCTGAAGCGACCGGAAGATCATTGGCTCTGCCAGACCAAATATCAGTTTCTCTACTCCTTGAGTCGTCCGTTGATTAACAAAGCCCCACAAAATTCTTCTAATTGAAGTTGCTAATTCTGGTGATCCGGCATACAATGCACCCTCAAACAATCCTTGTAAAAAACCATTCTCAATTTCATGCTTGCCCTCCCCCTCCACCGCCTTCCAAGCCCTGAAAACAATTTCACCATACGCCTCCAACATTGATTTACGACCGAATGGGATCTGTGACTTTATCATAGCACATAGTTCCTTTGTGAGCTGCCCACTAAGACAGAACAAAAATGCTAGAAATTTCCGACCCTCCTCGGTTTTCAAATACAAAGGAGAAATCAAGCAGCGAATGAGCAAATGTTTCAAATCCTCAATGCTCTCATCCTCAAAATCAAACAGCGTGAATGCCTCTCGAACTCCATAAACCCTGTGAACATCCACTTTCTTCATCAAAGTCAACGAACGGGATAAAATAACAGGTAATGACTGAGAAATCAGTCTTTCTTTCCCTTCTAAACCCCCCTTCCACCAGTCCTCACATAAATTAGCAATCTCGGACAGCAAAATTGCTTCGGACTCGAACAAAATTAAGTTATCATGCAATGCTTGCACAGCGGGAAACAAATCAGAAACGGAGAATGCATTTTTTGGATGGAAAACGCAGAGACGCAGAATGTAGGCATAAACCTGGAGCTTCTCGACAATGGGTTGTCTCTCATTTTCATGGCGTCCGTCGGAGGATTCGGCACCATCTCCTATGTTCCGGGCGGATCTTCGGACGCGCTTTGCTGGTGGAGTTCTCGGAGACGCCGTGAAGGTCGGGTCTGATAGGTTTTTAAATTGGGAGATGGAGTGTGAAATGGAGTTGCAGAGTGAGAATGGGAGAGTGGAAGTTAGATCAGATGAGGGTTTAATTGAGGTGTTAATTAACGATTTCATGGCGGTTTTGGAGGATTTGAAGGGCAGTTTGACGGCGGCGGAGAGGAATTCCACGGCGGAGGTTTGCAGCGACGACCGGAGTCTTTTCTCCATTAATTTG